AATTTTTAAAGTAGATTAAAGGTAAAGGCAGAATATTGGTAGAGATAAAAAGTGGAACAGCATGAACATTTAACTTAGAGAAAGTCATCAAGCAGACTACCCGTTTTTGAAGGAGTATCTTGTCTAGGTACGTTTTGGCTGCCTGTCCCCAGGCAGTAAGGCCATAGGAGATATATGGAAAAATAAGAGATCTGTATATATTAATCAAAGTCACGAAGGGAGTGAAATGCCCTAATCTGAGAAGCATCGGAACTTAGGGAATCTTACGCAGATTATACAAATAGAAATAAGACTTAAGTGAAACAGCCTAAAACGTTGGAGAAACGACCAATGAGACGTTAGCAAGCTGACCTGAGATGTTGGCGAAACGACCTTAGACGTTAGTGAAAAGGTCGTTAGCGGAACGACCGCCAAACAACGTTATTTACAAATGAATGTAGCTCTACACAAAATCCAATCCCTAGATGATGTCGAGACTAATCACAGCGTAGACTGACCGTAAAGTGTCTCACCTTAACCACCGCCAACGACGAACACTCATCCCTTGACTCCCTCGCATACCTACAACCACAGTAATTTGCGGTAGTCTAACGTAACGGCAGTTGATATTTTTCCTTAACTTTTTTCGTACATATCTCCAGCGACTCCTCTTAGTCCACGGACGATGGTCTTACTTTCGAATGAGTAAATTTTTAAACTACTTTTTCTACAAGAATTTTGCATTTACGCTTTGTCAACTATGGTACGCTTTTTATACTGGATTTTCTGCTCAGGTAGGGAAAATTTCAATTACATCAGTTTTGCTCAGTAAATTTAGCTTGTATTTATTTCCAAGTTGATAGGCCACGATATCACTAGATTCCACATCTGGTACTTCTCTTAATCCACACACGTAGCACACGTAGAAATATGAATGGGCACCGCACCCTCAAATTATCTGGGAAACTTGGGGAATTGCTGGTTTGCCTGTGGTGAATCAGGATCTTATCAAGGAATAGTAGCATTACACTTAGTCGTTTTATGCTGACGAAACCTGGTTAACCTGTGGTAGTTATGGGCTTTGGACATCCATGCAGGAGACGTATGTTCCATTATGGCCACGGCATATCGGTCTCATTGGTTAATTTGAAAAAACGTTGCGCATCTGTGTTAATCTGCGTAGTTTTTGAAGACCTTTTTCTGACAGACCACGAATCTACCCACTCTCCTTGTTTTTTGTTTGTTTATGTTTGGTTTTTATTTTTGAATTGTGTAAAATGTTCGTGTTATTTTGTGCTTCTTTCAGACGCTGTATGATGCATGGTTCATCTCATTTTATAATGTGTTTTTTACTTCTGCACCAGTCGTATTTTTAGCGGTTCTTGATCAGGTATGGGATTCTTCTTTACTCTTTACTGTTGGATATTGTCTTTGAGAGGAATGACGATCTAAACACCTCTCGGAAATCCTCTGTTGAACTAAATAAATGACCCAAGCGATAATCCTTGGCTAGGATTACGTTCTATGAGTCACTAACCCTCTACTTTGTCACTTGAGTTTTCCGTCCTTCCCGCGCGTTGCTATATGTCAGTTTCGACGTTCGTGTCGCACTTCTTTCCAGTTCCACCTCCAACTCGTTTGGGATTCAGGTACTACTTCCCTTTTGCGCAACTCGAAGTTGTGCAAGAAATGTCCAACATTTCTCTCGCCCTCGGATTTGATCCGAGTTTTGTCGTTATTTTTGTGTTTAAAGACTAGCAACATGCTTCTCCCGCGTGTGACTCAAATTTTACGTTTCCTTCTAGTCTGACGTACGCAAGCCTTCCGTTCTCTCAGAGGGTGATTCCAGCTCCAACTCTCTCTCGGCCTTTGCGCTCTCATTTAAAATGGCTAAAAAAATATATATCCATTATGAAATAGAATGCGCAATAAACTGGAGTGAAAACCAACTATTCAAAAAGTTTTGATTTCCTATTAACATCATAGTTATTTTTCATTTACAGGACGTCTCGGACAACGGGTGCTCTAAGTATCCTCTATTGTACATTCCTGGCCAGACTAACCTACTGTTCAATAAGAAAATTTTCTTCCTGAGCCTGTTGTATGGAGCTCTTACGTCGTTAGCAATCTTCTTTTTGTCCTACGGCGCGTTCCGTGATGAAATAGTGAAGGATGGCTTAGAGACGTCATCTGTGTATTTCTTCGGTACGGTGGTCGCCGCTATATTGGTAGTCGTTGTCAATATTGAGGTGAGTGTATAGGCGCTGAAAATTCAGTCTGGTGACAGTGTTAACGAATAGTTTAATCTTCTCTGTTTTGATGAACTTAATCAAGGATTGACTATAGTTGGGACGAAGGAAGATAGTTCTGAAAACTGAGGAACATGAAGAGCTCGTGTACTGTGACAAAACAATAACTTAGGTTTTTTAAAATTTTATTTTGATATGTTACGGCGTTGTGCTGGTACCATAATGGCTGTATCACAGGAAGAAATATTGACGCAATTATTTTTTCCTCGACAGATCTCGTTTCTTACACAGTACTGGACATGGATTAATCACTTTTTTACCTGGGGTAGCATTGTGTTCTACTTCGTTTTCTACTTCGTCTTTTACGCCGAGTTTGTTTTCAAGCTTTTCCCGCAGGGCCACTATTATGGAATGCAGTTTGAGGTGTACGGTAATCCGAAATTCTGGTTTACCCTATTCCTTGTTCTTGCTGTGTCAACAGCACCTCGTTTGTCGTACTACTTTGTCGACAATGAAATGAGTGCCACACAAAGCGACATTGTGAGGCGAAAAGAAGCACACAAGAGAATGCGCTTTACTTCCCCACAGGTAGAGTATGAGCCTCAGCTAGTTCGTAGGCGAACCTCTAAACGTTCAAGTTACGCCTTCGCTCATCAAGAAGGATTTGGCAAAATTGTTATGTCACCGGCAACATTTTTAAGGAAAAAATTACGTTCAACAACTCAGCCGGCTGGCCAAAGTAGTGTAGTTACTTTGTAATTCGATAAAAATTACCACATCGATTGACTTTTTATTTTCTTATTGTTATTTTTTTAATCCATTGACAGACATATACGCCAGACGTAAATTATGAAAGTAAATGCACTTTTGGAAACTTGGCAGTTAGGGAAACTTCTATTTTTATCCCTAACCCATTTTATAGGCCATAGTTTTATTCATTTCCCCCTCCATGAAGAGTGCTCACGTGAAACAAAGATTGTACACTTTCGACCAATCGTCAGAACGATTTAGACTAGGTTTACACTAGAGGAGAGTTTTCCGGATTCGTAAATGTTTCCGGATTCATTAATTTCGGAGTATTCGGATTCGTAGGCGTTTACACTGAAAGGATATTCGGATTCCTGACCGTTTACACACAACGACAACTCCGGGAACATTCGAAATGGAATGGTTACCAAGCCCAGTGTTGTTTCGTCGTTCGATCGACAAAGTGAAAATGCCTCCCCCAAAAAAGGCTAGAGTAGATCCAGATGCCACTGAGGCAAATTTGAGTTGGACAGATGCCAAGCAGTCTACGTCGTCGGCGATTAAGTGTGGCTGACGTTAAACTTCCTTGCAATAATAATTTGCGTTTCTTCAGAAATACTGCGGTACACATGATAAAATTTATCGCCTGAACCTGCAACAAGATTAGGCAACCGGAGACCGCCAGCAATGTTAGCACCAGATCCATTTTGGTTTCACCGCAAACTCAAAAGATTGCAGGTGGAAATAATATCCGGATTCGAGAAAAAAAGCGGTTACACGACAAAACTTTCCGGATTCAAAAGTTATCGGATTCAAAGTTCCCACTTTAAATTCCGGATTCAAAATCTCCGGAGACACGACCAAACCGGGAAGTTTTTATTTCGGATTCGTCCACTTTCGTGTAAACGGCAGAAAGAATCCGGTACTAAAACGTTTCGGATTCATCACGAATCCGGAACAATTTCCTCTAGTGTAAACCTAGTCTTATTGAGCTTCTGTTATGATAAATACTTGCTCATGGCTATTTCATTGCATGTTTACCGACATACATTTAGTCAACACCGTTATTCATTTGCATTTTTTTTTATTTAACGATTTATATCCTACTTAGACCGAGATACATATTGGTACAATTAGTATTGTTTAGTGTGTATGGATGCCAAAAAGGTTAAAAAATTTTTAACTAGTAGGCCATCCAAGTGAGTGTAATTAATTCCGATTACGTTTCAGGGCTAAACCTTTAGTTTATTGCCCTGTCGGTTTTTTCCAATGAACTAAAAAATAGATTTGATTCACCTTTGAGCAGAAGTAACGTTCAATTTGATATTTCTTTTCTCATATTCACTTCTATTTACTTCATAAACGGCCATTTGTGACTGCTTTTGAAAGTGTTACGAGTAACATTCCACATTTGACATATTAACAAAGGCCAGGCAATGGTTTAAAAGATTATACAGAGTTGTCACAGTTGTGTACTCCCAATTGTATAAATGCCTGAGAGTTTACAAACTCTGCGTTCCAAAATATTTTTGAAATCCCAGTTCCTTCTCGTGTTGTTGAGCCAAAAAGCCTCACCTTGGAGAAGCTTTCAATCAGTGCAATCACCGCCAGCACTGGCTAGTGATAAACCATTGCTGAGCAGGCTTCGCCGTCGTCAATTTTATGTTCAGAAGGCACTCATTTCGATCCTGGAGCTTACCTCTGTTGCCCATAACATGCGCAATTGAGAAGATGCCCTAAGTTCGAGATAAAAGAAATAGTTACTTCTAAGGTAACAGTCAGAACTTAGTACGTTTTAAACAGCGATAAGGTATAGGATGAGCGTCTCAGCAAACGGTCAACTACTTAGTCCACCATTTTAAGTCAGTTAAACTAATGCATTTTAGCAGATGCATAGATTTTCCACACTATTTGATTTTGAGGAAGAAAGGGTATATTGTAATGTTAGGCCTTCTTTTAAGATTAAATTTGAAAAAAATAAATACTCTTCCAACCTCAAATGATTAAAAATGAAACAATTAAACAATTGCTACTGCTGTATATTACTTTGCAGGAGTATTTGAGTTAATCACAGGATTTCCTCGAATAAGCACTCACGCTCTATTAAGCCAGGCCAGGCCTGTGGGAATTTGTCTGTTGTGTTGTTATTTGTATCGGACTTATTTCCCTTAAAATGCTGGTCTTCACTTGCGACCGAGTCGCAATCAGAAGTGTGGAGCGATACGATCAAGTCAAAATCAAACCGACGGAGTCGGAAGCAGAACACCTATTCTGCCTATGACTCCGTCGCTTACGATCTAGTGAAAACTGCATGGTCGGAGTCGGAAGTGGAAGCGGAAGAATAAACCTATCATAATGCTCGATTCCATCTTTCCAAAATGCACAAAGAGCCGTAACAAATTTAAACGTGTGAGCTTGATTATATAAAATTACGAAATTAGAAGTTAAAATACTCGAAACCTACCGAAAGTAGAATTTATGATCACCAAGTCCGCGAGGTTAGCATACTCTCCCAAAGCTGCTCGAGTCGATAGGTATCACGAACCCAAAATCGCTTTCTTTTTCGAACGATATCATTCCTGTATTGTCTCTGCCTGCGCAAAATAATGATTAATAAGAGCCAAAGCGCAAGTTGCTCTTCGTCCGCCATATTGTCTTTGGCGCCAAAATTTGTACTTTCGCGGGCCTGGGAATCGAGCATTGCGATTGGTTTATTCTTCCGCTTCGCTTCCGACGCTGACAATGCAGTTTTCACTAGATCGTAAGCGACGGAGTCATAAGCGGAATCGGAAGAAAATTGAAACGTTCTGATTCTTCCGACTTCGATTTCGTCGAGCTTATGACTCCGCTTACGACTCCGTTTTTAGATTTTTACTAGGTCATAAGCGCTCTTACGACTCCGACTCCGTCGCCCGTTGGAAAGATGAGCAGTCTAAATCCCACAGGGATCAACGAACGCTTTTCATTCCACTAATTTATTCTTGTTTTTCTCGTTGCCATGTTCCCACCAATAACGTAGCTCCATTTTCTGCCTTTAAAAGCACACACAACCCACAATTCCTCTACTCGCTCCGACGAAGGGCTAACTCTCGAAACGTCGATCTTAGATATAACTTCTTTAAAGTCAGCAGGACCTGTACAGACTTTTGATTCAAACTGTTAGATAAGTTTTGGCCAAACTGGTTTTGCTTTAGGACTAAAGGAAAAAAATCACCTCCATTATTTCCATCAAAGGCAAGATAATTCCTCACTTTTTTTTGTAGCAATAATTAGTGTATCTTTATTCAAATTCAAGTCGATAACCATGGTTATAAACTCTTCTAAACAGCATTCAACGGAGACGCGTCGAGACCACATGTAACAAAGAAGCGTTTGCTCTACTTCAAAGGTTAAAATGATTACGGTCACCGAAAAACCAACGACGAAAAGGGCATTTCATTCTCGCTTGCGCGCCCCATCATTCCTTTTAATTGTACTCGTTTTAATGGTCATTCTTTTGGCGTACTATTGCTGGACACTCTCTGCAACAAACCAATCGCTTTTACGGGAACTGAGGGTTGTTCGAGGCAGTAAGTTGGAAGAAGAGAAAAGCCGTGCGGCACTAGAGGGAAAAATGGTTCGTATCGTAAATCAAAGACGCATGTTCGAGGAAGATTTTTTTAAGGAAAAGGAAAAGATAAAAGAAGTAGAAAGGACAGCCTTCGAAGAAGCTTCTGCTCTCAAGGTAAAATTAGAAATATCACAGAGACAGCTAGATAGCGCACAAAAGAAGGAGGTTTGTATAAAAGACTTATATACATTAACTTAAAAACTGGATGTGCCAGCGACACATTAACCGCTTCTGCAAATTTGACTTGTCATAATTTTGTGACAAGTATGCAACTCAGAGTAAGAATCTACATCGAAAATCTCATATATCTCGAATTTATTACGATTTTTGCAGTTTTACGAGGGGCTTTACTGAGAAGGGAACGCCATTTAATTGTGATATTTAGCCAGAAGTATATGGCCTATGCTATAGTTATCTGCTTTTATTTCAAGTGACGTAATCAATTTTAGGTAGCAAAATGACAATAAGATATTTTCCGATCGTCTCGAATTGATTTATACCACACTGCTTAGTAACAGAACTAACCCCCAAAGCTATTGCTAGAATTTTATTTCACGGTTTATGTCCTGTCATCTTCGCAGCCGTACTTTTGTCATGTCATTCAGCACTTTCTCACCTCCACTTGGAGGAAGAGAGAACGTTACAGGACGAGACTTTATAGCTTAGTAGAATAATTGTTTTATTAAAAACGTTAAATTAAGTTATTAAATTTTATTCTTTTTTTTAGCTCCCTTTCAATTATAAGCTGACGCGTGCGCTTATCATATTTGTAGATTATGGTATATTGGTTCATATACCATAATGGCTAAGCCAATAAAAATTCTTGAATTCCATTATCCAATGATCCAGTTTTTAATAATACAAATTATATTAGGAGCTGGTATCCTTGATTCCTATGAGGCTCAGCAACATCTAACATCTGTACCTCGTTGTAACATTAACCATGGTTTAATTAACGCGCGCCTATGTTTGAACCACCTGACATGCATTCAAACAGTCACAGGAAATTGACTAGCATAGTGTTCTGGCATAATTCCTTTTAAGTCCTCAGTAAGATTAATATTAATTATAATGGATAAGTACATCAAATTATCACATTCAAACGTCAACAAAGTAGCTCAGAGGCATGAAAATAAAGTGGGCGTAGACCAAGGTTCTTCCCTATTCTAAGGACATCTGTTAAAACGTCTTCTTGCAAATATCTCGTGTCTCGTCAATCTTCAAGATGAGTCCTTTCAAAATTTTTTCACGTTCTTAGTCAAGTGTGACCACACTTATAAACAATGTTTCAAGTCTAATTTTGAACAAAAGCTGACAAAACAAAGCTGATATTGCCTTTCGATCGTAAGGTCCTATACAGACCCTTGTACTGACTTGCTTTTTTCCGATACGTATATGTATCTGTAGTTGAGACAAAATACCGAACAAAACACAAAGTTAGGGCGTGGCCAATTTAGGCCAGCTGTTCAAAGCTAAGAAGGTAAGAGCACTGTTTAATATGTTATGGGGTAATGTAAAATGCGGCACTGCCAAATCAGATGCTTGTAATAGAAAATACAGGCATTCACGATGAGATTCGAAGAATGCGTCTCGTAATGAATAATTGGATTTCTGTGTAAAGATAGACCACTTTCATAAATGGCTGCCGTATAAATATTCTTTTGTTTAAACTTAAATTAGCCCTTCTGGCCTCGCTTGAGATAATGTATTCTTTTGAATTTTGTACTGGAGAACGAGGCCAGTAGGGCTAATTTAAATTTAAACAAAAGAATATTAATCCGGCAGCCATTTATGAAAGTGGTGTATAGTAAAGAAATATTCATCAATCAAACGACCCCCGCGAAGTGGGAATCTTATTGTCGCACAGACCTCTGGGTAAGCTTTCCTTGCAGTTTTCATCATGGCGTCAAACGGCCTAGTATTTAGACCGGGTCGAGGCCCATCTTTTATCCTAGTTGGGCTTGTTCTCATCGTTATAATACTGTTCTACAGCTACTGGGGTGTTTCTTCCAAAAATAATAAGTTACTTAGAGATGTTAGCGTTTTACAAGACCGGTTACGTGTCTTAGCGGCTCGAAAACTAACAGCAGACAAGAAAGGTTCTGCCCTACTAACCCAAATCACTCAGTTGCAAGAAGACAAAGAGCAGAAAGATAAGGTTATAAACTCCAAAGATGAAAAAAATGCTGATTTATCAGCATCTTTACATAAGAAGGAGAATGAATTAACAAAAGTTCGACAGCAAGAGGTTGGTAGTTAACTGTAACTCCGCTTGGTGAAGTGTGTGCGGAACATTTATTACCCGCTTCTGATTAGCATATTGGAGACTTGTTTTCGTTTCCTTTTTAGGTTATTTAGATTTTTTATTCTAATTCTTGATATTGAAGCTGAAAACTTTGCACATCCGAAGTTTTTAGACATTCACGTGCTGGCTTACTTCTTTCAGTACACTACAACAGCTCAGTTCGGAATAATTTTGACAATAGTAGCTAAGCAACTTACTTTTTGCAGCTGAGAATGTGTGACTTTATATGTTAATTTTTGCGCATGATGGTTATTCTCGCCTGATTAACCCATGTTTCACTTAAGTTTATCACTCTGCAAGTACTTTTACTTCTACCTTTACCATTGATTGTTTACAAGTATACATGCAAACTGAAAATTGTGATTGGCTTTTAAACAGTGTCTGTAAAATACTGCTGTGAACCGAAGAGAATATTGCAGATTATTTATTGGATGGTTTCAATTGAATAATTTACTCTCTAACAGGGCATGCTTAATGATTGAACAGTCTCCTGTTCAACAACAATTTGTGTAGGTATTCACATGATTTCAAGTGCAATTTGGGATAAGTCAGTATGAGTAAATTTTTCAAAGGTTAACCAAATTGAAGAGACCCATAGAGCAAGGACTCTTTGTAGTCTCTGAAAATTTAACATGTGCTGACTTATTCCAAATTGCTTGAGAAAAAAATCATGTGATTTGATGTTAATGATATGCATGCATAAGTTTGGCAAAAAATTTTACTTCCTGTTATGTCTCGCTAGTTTGGTTGCATGCCTTTCTGTTGTTGCTAGAGTGGTCAGGGTTTTCCTGCAAGAACTGGCTTGCTTGATAAACAGCAACTCTCTTTTATCTTTTCTCTGTATTATTGAGAATTGGGTAATGTAGAGAATTAATCTAAGTGTCTCAGGCCACAAACCCCATTTCCTTTTCTCAACCAAGCTGAGTACCACACTTCCTTAAGTGGTGTAATGTCTCTCCTAACTGTGGTGACATTGCCTCCAAAGTTTTAGCCCATGACATTGTGATAAATGGTCAGTCCCAGAGGTATTATGGAGTATCATTGTGTGGCACGAGTCTAACTCAAATTATACTAACAAACTTGCATTGGCACACACTGTCAACACCAAACCAAGACGTACTAAACTTGTGAACTCCTTCATTGGTTCATTGGTGTAGAATGGGTTAAAGCAAGGGGTTACTAGTTCTGATACTTGTTGCAAGATACTTTGGTGTTTGCTGTTTTCTATGTTTTCTAGTAGAATTCCCACTCAAACTTTGACACAATGGATAAAGGCTACCTTAAGTATTTGCCACAGCTAAACTGGCAGTTTGACAAATGATACTTATCCATATTTATTTTGTTTCTAAAGCAAAATTACTTAATGGAGTTAGAGAAACTGAGGAAAGGAGTAAACAGTTCTTCCTCTGGTCTCAGAACATTGAAAGGTTAGTTGTACTTAATGATGTTGTGCAAAGTATCTCTATGGTTGTGTAGCTGCTTCAAAAAAAAAAATTTTTTTTTTCTTCTCAGGCAAGGCTGATCAGCTGTTGAAAAGCTATCAAGATATCAAGGCAAATTACTCTTCACTTCTGCAACAGATTACCATGTTGACATCTCAGAGGTGAATTTTATTTCTTTACATGTTTACCAATGACCTTGAGGATGTGTTTCTTATACTGCTTGATATTATTTTCAGCAACAAAATTATCTAATAGAATTAGAATTCCCTCAAAACGATGAACTGTATGTAACCTCCATGCATGAGACTTTTTGTACTGGTTGCCAAAGTCAAACTATTATCTCACATGGAAGGTTTTATATCCTTCAAATAATCAGTTCTTGAAAATATAATTTTCCCCTGAGTTTCCTTCCATTAGCAACCACTGTTGTCTAAACTCTGAAACATCTGCAAGTTTTCTAAGTCTACATGTCATCAGTTGACACCTACATTTGCTTTCTACTTTTCCTATGAAAGGGATCTTTACCAAAAGGAATTAGCAAATGTCAAAACAGAACTTGAAGACCTAAAGAAAAAAACAGGTAAAAAAAACATAATTATTATTCTTTTTTTGCCAACACATTTTCTTAGTATATCTATCTATTGCATTCTTTCTAAGATAACTTTCTTGTTGTCAAATGTGTTTGCACCCTGGAAAATTTTCAGAACTGTTTTGTGTGAAATTTCCTTTGAACTTTGTATGATTTCTTTCATTATCGTACATGTACATGTATTTCTTTTCGTTACATCTATTTTGAAATTGGTTGTGATTCTTGTAATCTGATTGGCTGTCATCAGTGTGATTTGTATACACAAATTGCACATTTTTCGCTGTTAATCCCATCTTTTCCCAGCCAATGAGAAAACTTCACTAAAACACAACAACTAATCTGATTTCAAGGCTTGTGTAAAGAAACAAACCAAATTGCAGGAAAATGAAAGAAAACTTTTGCATCTTTTTGCAAACCAGCTCAGTACAGGATCAATTTAAATATTTGCACCAACTAAAAATTTCCTTATTTGAGGTCTGAAGTTTGGTATTTTAAAATGGGTGTAATAAGGTGGTGATTGAACTTTGTGTTGTACAATTTTGGTCTGAGATCATACTTGTGATTTCAAATCAAACTTGTATTGTGCGCTTGTCTGGTCCTGCAATCATGTGTATGATTTCAGACCTAAAAATACACATGCAAAAATTTCAGCATGCTCATTGGCTGAGAACTTGTCAACTAATCTCAAACAGTGCAAAAAGTTGAAATTGAATGCTGAAAATTGAAACTGGGTGCAGAAAGGTGAAATTAAATTGATTGACTCGTAACTTCTTCAAAGACTAAAAATTGCGCTTGTCCTATGGGCCAATGTAATTGGTTAGCCTTTGAAAAGTTTACTTGTGCTGATTTATCCCAAATTGCATTCAAAATCATGTGATTACCCATACAAATTGTACTCCATCCATTTTGATTACCATTAAAGTGCACCTAAACCCAAACATTTTTTTTCGCTTAACGAAATAAGCTTATTTTTTGGAGTATTTCTGTGCAAAAATTTTTTAATTTGCCTAAATCTTAAATTTTCTGTGCCTAGTCAAAATACGGAAAATCGGCGGCCATCTTGCCCCACGACCAAGTTTAAAGAGGAATGGCTCTAGCGGATAATGTGACGTCAAATCGAGAACACGAAAGTCTGCTTTTCACACATTTTCACTTGTTTGGGAAGGTTGTGGTCGATATTGTCCGAAACATGCCAACCAGGTGTGTTGTATGAGGAATGTATGAAGCGTGATACCCTTTTGTAAATTTCGCATGTTGCTACATCCTCCTACAACACACTTAGTCGGCATATTTTCGGACAAAATCGACCACAACCTTCCCAAACAAGCGAAAATGTGTGAAATGCAGACTTTCGTGTTCTCGATTTGACGTCACATTACCCGCTAGAGCCATTCCTCTTTAAACTCGGCCGTGGGGCAAGATGGCGGCCGATTTTCCGTATTTTGACTGGGCACAGACAATTGAAGATTTGAGCAAATAAAAAAATTTTTGCACAGAAATACTCCAAAAAATACACTTATTTCGTTAAGCAAAAAAAAATTTTTGGGTTTAGGTGCACTTTAAAAAACAGGGTGGCTAATTATGCTTTTCTTTCAATATCAGTTGATAAGGTCCCCACAAAACCCAATAATGAAGGAAATAAGGAACCAATGAGAGATGCCTCTGAAGGAGGCAGCACAAATGAGAGAGAAAGAGATGAACTAAAGAAAGCTGTACCAAGCATATCAGAGACAAACAAGAAAGGAGCTGGGAATGTGAATTCTTCCTCAGCAGCCAATGTTTCAGATCCAACAAACATGAAGTCAGGTGGAAATAAGACTCAAAGTGAAGAGAGTGCTGGTTCTCCAACTAAAAGTAGCACTGGCATCTTGGATAGATTGAAACAGGGCATTATGGGGGGACCAGACGCAGATGAGAAAGAGGTGACCAGAGTCAATGAAGGTGGCCAACAGCCAACTGAAAAGAGTTCTCCAAGTGATGAGAACAGTCAACAAGAAAATGAGGATGAAGCTAATGATGAAAGGGATGACCAGGAAGAGAATGAAAAGAAAGATATGGACAAAAGACAAGGACAAAATACTCCTATCAACACTGAGGAGAAAGACATGGAAGAAAAAGAAAAGACTGAATCTGTGAGAGATCAAGAGGATGAAAATGCTGAAGAGAATGAGAATGTGGATAATAAAGACAATGAATCTGACAAAGATGTGGATGACTCACAAAAGGATGAAGGAGAGGATACTGAAACCCAAGGGCAACCACTCTCTAGAGGCAGTCTTCAGAGGAAAATGATGATTCCTCCAGACAGTTTAAAAGACATTAGAGGCCTACCAAATGTAAGTACTGCCAGTAGTGTTTTCTCAAGTAGATTGTACAACAGTCCTTTCTGAGGTATATTTAGTAAACTTAGACAGCTATACAATGCATGGTTATCATGTCAATTTTACTAGTATGTGATGTTGCTTGTGATTTTTTAGTTTACACACAAGCTTTTTTGCAGGGTACATGGCTCAACACTAAAGGTAGCCCACTAGCCACACACTTGTAGAAATTCAGTTTTGGCAAGTGGTTTTCAATTTCCACTAGCCAGTTTGGCTAGTAAACAAACTGAAATTGTTGTAACATCTAAGATGTAACTAGCCTGCTGCCAGGCACTTGGCTAGTAAGTTGAAAAGTTAGTGTCAAGCCATGGGGTATGTTGGAGTTGAATAATATGCTTAGTTTTAGTTTAAAGTTTCAAATTTGTTTTGGTGTGGTTTCATAAAGAGCGAGTTTGAAGCTCATTTTATTTTGTATACTGCACTCAATCCAAGCGTGGGGTGCATGCTTTTCTTCCAAGGTTTATGTGACAGAAGACAATAGATGCATAAGGTCGTAGTAGTAGCAAGTATGACAAATATTGTCAGAAATAGACAACTTTTTTTGAGAGACATGTTTCAGCATGCTTGTGCCATCTTCAATCAATGAGTAACTGAACGTGAGTAATTATAACGCGTACAAGTAGATGAATAAAATATTTACAGTATGATGTAATACAAAGGCGGGTACTAATTACGTGACACCAAACATCAAAGGTGGGAACTAAAACACTAGAAAAGTGTTCTAGTGCTGCAATTGTTTGTTAAGTTCAGGTTTGGCCTTGTTTATATAGAAAGGAAGAAACTCAAAGAAGCTTTTTATATAAATAAGACCAAACCTGAACTTAACAAACAATTACAGCATTATAACACTTTTCTAGCATTATAGTTTGCATTCTTTGGAAATGCACTTTAAGAATCTAAGGTGATTAAATGATTAAAGTCACCACAGAAAGTAAGGAACTATATGCGCCACGCCAACATTGTCATTTATCCTGTCACTCCTAATTTTAGATAAAAAGGAGTTTCTCACAACAGTATTTATACATATTCATACAGAAATATCAAGTCAAAACTCTTAAAGCAAAAATCAAAAGAAACTGTGTTGATAATTGCTACTGGGTGTTGTGGGAGTGGCTCGGCATTATTTTGAAATATCAGAAAAATTAATAATGCTGATGATGCCTGGGCGGAGGGGGCATCTTCAACTTCCTTCGATTTGTTGTAAACTGCTTCTAGCAGTCTGGCAAAGTCCCCCGCACAGTGTTGTAAGAATGGCCTTGAAAAGCCCCATGGAGAGTGGTCATCTAACCCATCCATCCATCCATCCATCCATCCATCCATCCATCCATCCATCCATCCATCCATCCATCCATCCATCCATCCATCCATCCATGATAATAAAGACAGATATTTAACACGTGCATACGATCATTTTGTGTTTTCGACAGACTGATAATAAGCGACCCCCAGTTGGCAACTCAAGGCAAAGGTTTGACCCACGAAGGTCACGGGACACCCCTGGTAGTTTGGGTGTTGGAAGAAGCATGGTAAGATTTTTTTTTTTTTTGTCCTTTTACAAAGGAACAGCTGAAAGTATTTTAGGTAAATATATGATAATTGTGTTGGAATAAAGAACTAGGGATGGATGTATGTACGTATATGCAACTTCACCTGGATTATGATACAGAGGGATGTTTTTTTTTTTGTCTAGTTAAGGGCTCAGGACAAAGGAAAAAATTCTGTCTGGTTAAGAGCTTATGACAAAGGAAAAAATTCTGAAAATTTTTTCGAATTCTGCCTTCTAATACTTTACCACTGAGTCACAGACAGTCTACGGTGAGTTTGGCCACCTTGAGGTGCATATGCGTCATGCATGGTATTATGGTCGGTAATGTCGAAAGCGTCATGTGCGTTAACGGAATAACAAAGATGATTAATTTTGAGTTCGGTAAAGAGATAGAGAAAGATGTTTATTTTTCGTCTTTTCACGAGCGTAGGACAATCTTGTCCTCTTGTCTTCACTGTTGTAAGTGTTTATTTTCTCTTCGCCAGGGACGAGATGATCCAGATGATAGAATGATACGGAAGTAAGAATGATGTGTGGCCGAAAATTGTCCACAAATGGTCTTGTTTTTTTTACTGCGGAGATGCAAGACCCACGGTAAAAGAGCATCGAGGTTTAAGACAGCGTGGTAGCAGTAAAAACTCGACATGGATAGTAATTACATTTTAAGTGTTTGATAAAGCGAAGTAAGTTATTTAATTGCATTAAGGGGAGAGCAGAACCTCGTAGAAAGTTGTAATGTTTTTTTTTTTCTTCTCTTTTACACGTGTAGAGGTGCTACATGTAGGTTTGTAGTTTGGTGTAACAAGTTTCACAAGAAGTGATGTTTGTAAATCGATTGGCTTTGTTTGTAAATCGATACATTTGCTACTTTTGTCCTTTAAAAGATATATATTTTAGTATTTTTGTTGGGCACGTATAACTCAATAACAATACCAAAAGGGTATTTAAATCAGCTTTAAGAAAACCTATTAACATTTCTATCATTAATTCTTGGTTAGTAGGGTAACCGACCGCGGATTCGGAACAGGCTAGGGTTAGGATCCTCCAGGAAGACTAAATTTTACGCTTTTGTTACGGGAGGACGAACGATGTTCTACATCGATTTTGTGGTAGCCAGCTGTAAAAAATAAATTTCAACACTCACCAACTTAGGACACTTTCGCCGCCATAGTAGAAATGGCACTTCCACAATGCAATGTGATCCCAGTAAACATAAACTTCGGTTGCTCGTTCACTTTTAGTTGTTCTCACTTCGGGATCCGGAAGTCTTCGGAAGTTACGGACAATCTTACTTAGAACATTTTGACATGATACGTACTGGCCTTGCGCCAGTTAGCATCTAGTTAGCATGATAACAGTGATTTACATTTGAAAGGTAGCAAGGTTTGTATCATAACAAGGTCATCTCTAGCCTCACTCCCGTTCAAAGGCTTGGCAACCAAGCACACAACTGTAAAATGGACTATTAATTCCATTAGAATCTTTATCGGTGCCCTAGCTTCATGTTCGTTTATTGGTACTTATAAATTACGTATTTTCAAATTTAGGGTGTCATGTTAACCATTAACAGTTCGTCCAGTGTATTACGGAGGAACAAAAGAAATCTTTTAAAGTTTTCCCAATTTTTTGGGCTCAAATTTCATTCTGTAGGTTTTGACGAAGCTACCGATTTTATTAGCAATGCCTAGAAAATTGATCGGAAAAAATAGCTGGGATCCTTTAAACTAAGTTAGGCTATCAATTAGCACTTAATCTGCTGTAAATAGCACTGACGTCATGACTCTTTAATAAACTTCCAATACTTGTAGTTGACAACGGTTCCCCGTACATCTCTAGCGTTTTTTTTTTTTCCTGATAAGCGGTATCCACTCTCTCACCAAGATATGCCCGTTCGCTGGAATTTTGCATTTTAACCAGGCCAAAATGCTTGGACCTACTTCTTGCTTAGCATTATGACTTTGTTGCTCGGTCCCGGTATTGACATCGCCTCAGAGTCGGGTAGCCTGAGAAGCCGCGTCACGCTACCCGATTCTAGCCCACGTCTGAACCAAAGTCATACTATAGTCGAATCTATCGCAACTCAGTTTGGCAGGGCAGAAGCACGACGTCTGAACTGGGCCATAGGTTTTCCTCAGTTTTAATACCGGAATGACTTCTTGTCAATTACGTAGCGATATAACTGCCCCGCCCCCGAAAAAGAATGTTAAGCGTAAAATACTCTCCTAATGTCGCTGTTACTATCAAACTTATCATCATTGTTACAATTGTTATCATAGTTATTGTTATTACAGTTTTGGTCATCATTATTTGTCCGGGTCGGACACAAAGCGGCGAAGATGTCGAATAACAGAACAGCGCTTCAACCAACGAGTTTAATGACGGCGAAGAATACCAATATTTACAGAACGATCCAGTTGCCCTTTCATCAGAGATTGCGGGACTCAAGGAGCCGTAAAAAACCACATGATGAAGGGCGGTAAACGAAAGAAAAGGAACAGTTTTACGTACCTAAATTTTTACAAGCGCTTCAAGAGTAACCTTTCTTCCCCGGAAAGCAAAGGAAGTTTGTGTTTTTAAAATCCTTAAGTCCTTAGACTTCTCAGCTCTCCGTCTTACTTACTATGAGTCTCAACACTTCTTTTGACTCATGTCACCTTTTGAGCTTATGAAGCATGTAGCTCAGAAGAACCAGACAACAACAGGCCGATTTCATTGTTACCCATCCTATCGAAAGTAGAAGAGAGACTGGCACACAAGCAGTTTGTGGAATTTTGACAACGCATGATTAACTGTCGACATATCAAGGTGGCAACAGGAAAATGCATTCAACAGAAGCTGCCCTCATAAATTTTACAGACAACATTTTAAAGGCAACTGATGAAATATCAGCCTCGCCTTGGTTGATATGTCAAAATCTTTCGACAGATTTAATCATAGTCTATTGTTAGAAACTGAATTACGAGAACTAGGCCTCCCAGCTGCTGTAACTTCTTGGTTCAATAGCTATCTATCCTATCCAGTAGTTATCAAAGAGCTCGTTACGAAGATTCGATCTCAGAATTGTCACCCCTAACAAATAGAGTACCTTAGGGATCATTTTGGGTCCTGTGCTTTTTACTATTTACATCGATGATTTAATCAGTGTTATTACCCACAGTCAACCCACTGCGCATGCGTACGTTGGTAATAGTCAATTAGGAACATCAGTAATTGGTATACATATATCTTATTAACCAAGCGCGAGGGCCGTACTGGGAGAATATCGGCCCGAGGTCTTGGTCAAATAAGACCGAGGGCCGATATTCTTCCAGTACGGTCCCGAGCAAGCTTGGTTAATAAGAGATTTATTATACGACTGAAGTTCGAAGGAACACAAGTGCGGTATCATTCGGGACCATTCGGGACAGTGCCCGGTCCAATACTGAGAGAACATTGACCGGCAATAGAGCATTTTGATTGGTTGATTTTAGTTATTGGCCCTCTGACTGCCCGAGTCGTGTAATAAAAAGAATTATCTACTTATAAGTCTGAGTAGACAAAATTAGTGGTTGTTGTCTCAACACAACTAATTAAGAGGCTACCTCTTATCTTCTTATGCATGTTAGGCAAAACTGTCTCGCCAGTTTCGTTTACTAAGGGTCTCAGGGTATATATATATTTATAACCCACCCATTAATTTTGGCGCGATTTTATTGGTTACTTTACGTCACGTGGTGCAAAATCGCAGGACAGTTATCACGCAATAACCCACGTCCGCGTCGATATTTGTCCTCCGATTTTTTCCGTGAAAAAGAAACATGAACACAAGAGTTTCAACTTTTCCGTTCTCCTATTTACATGGAAGGAAACCAAACTCGTTTTTTTTTTTCCTTACTTGCCTCAATCACGCGCATTCGCCATCAGATCACCTCTGGCTTTTTTTACTGTGTTTACGTGCAGTTTAATTGCGATGTGAAAATTAATGGGAGGGTAATTAAATAACTACTATTACGGATTGTGGAGATGATGTTTGACTATTATCGATTGTTAAATGAATGGTTATTTCTTTTGGGCGCTTTGAATAAGAAGGATTGACCAATACACTGATTCCTTTTTAACCCTAACCCCAACCACAAGAGAATACCCCGGTCATGTTTAAACGTAGACAGCAGATCGTGCAGAACGTAAACGGACCGTAAAGGATGTTTGTTTGTTTGTTTGTTTTTGGTTTTTGTTTTTTTTGTTTGCTTTTTTTGTAACTCTGATTTTCACCTCTTCCTGAAGGTTAGCACACACGAGGGGACTAGTCCCTGCGAATAGTTTCTGCGACTAGTCCCTGCGACTAGTCCTTGAAACTAGCCTCCTGAAGAGTTTACTGAGGGACTGGTCGCAGGGACTACTCCCTAGTAGTGTTTACACGCGAGGATCAATTGCACAGGAAACTAACAAAAACTGGGTGCAAACAGTATCATTCTGTCAATCTGCAGCTTTCTTAATAAACAAAAATTATTAAAATAGCAATGTAGCATTGAAATAAATCAGTTCAGTACAAACAGTAGATTGCTTAGCGAAGTTAATCAGAGCTTGAAATGTTTCTGATTCAGTTCGGATATAAGCGAAAAATAACGCTTTGTTACCGATCAAATGTGGTCAATACAGAAACAAAAAGAGGCGAAAATTCGATCAAGATTTCCCGTACTCATGTAAATTATTTCAAACTGGTTTCATCTCAGGGAGGAAACATCAGAGAAATTATCTCTGAAGTTACGCAATCACTTCTGTGCATTGTGAACCGATCTGTGATTGGTCACAGGGACTTGTCCCACTAACAGTTCATACGAAGCGTTTTGAGGAACAAGTCGCTGGGAATTGTTGCAAAAATTCCAACCAGTTTGAATTCGTGGAATAAGTCCTAGGGACCAAATTTTAGTCCGTGCAACTAGATTTTGCGGCAAAAATGGATAGTTCACACGATGGGACTTGTCCACGCAACTAGTTGCAGGGACCAGTCGTAGGGACTAGTCCCCTCGCGTGTTACAAAAAAAAAAAATAAATAAAAACAAAAACAAAACAAAAAAAAAAACGGAAAAGCAAACAAGCAAACAAAATTTACAGTCTACGCGGACTGCACGGTCTGCAGTCAGCAGTCTGCGTTTTAGCATGATCAGGAATACCCCTTTTTGAAGATCTCACATGTTCCCCCTGCAATTTCTGTTTCAGTTTTGTGGAAGCAGATCTTGCCCCCTTAGCTTGTTGCTGATTTGCTTTTCCTTTTTTTTCAGTAGACGTTAGAATTTTTTGATACTTTTTAAGTTGAGTTTGGAGCCTCAACACGTCCTTTTTCAATTGAATGTTCCTTCCTTTTAAAAATACTGAAATTATAAAAAAGTGGCACAACTGAAAATGGTTAAATTTCACTAATTTCACACGATAGAGTATGGAAACAAAGAATACAAAGTAAAATTAAAATAAATTAACCTACTAGAAATCTTATTGACGAGGTATACATGTTTAGAGTGTGGAATTTCAATTTAGCAATAAATTGTTGTCGCAATACAATTGGAAGGGATTTGTAAGGTTGAATATCTGAAAATATTGCGTTTCCACGGCGGTCCGTGTGTTGATAATTTTTTTCATGTATATTTAAACTTCTAACACAAGCCTTGTGAACTCTCGATACGCCGTAACGCAGATAATGAGGACTTGATTACAAGCTACTCTAATACAGCTAACGAACTCTTAATCACGATTACTGAGAGAAAATACGGTATAAACTTAACCTTCGTTACAGACACTCTAAGGATCAGCTGATCAGCCTCGGTATATGCAACACCATTCCTGTTTAAAGTAAAACGAACATAAATGATCGTTTTATCAATCTCAGCTAAAAAAGAGAACAATTTAGCAATTCCCGACTTAAACGCTGTTTTGTTGATGGAGACCTAGAGGTGATGGCCTTGTCTTAACCTCTATGAAACGAACACCTCTGTAATACTTATGCTACATTTTGTCCTATCGGTGACCAAATTAAAGAGGCTCAATTGAAGTAATAGAGAATACCACATGGGCGCACATAGATATGGAATTTCTCTTCGCGTGTTCTCCTTGATATATCACGAGTGAGCGCAGCTCATGCGTGCGGGAGTTATCGAGTTGAACAAGATAGGAGAAATTCCATATTTNTGATAGAGTAGTCTGATCATCCGGTTGAGTGTAAATTTCTGAGAACGACGGTTGTCGGTGGTGGTGACTGACGTTTCGACAACCTGAGCGGAAAGTCATCATCAGAGTCAAGTGAATTATTATACTGTCAGTTGAATGTTCTTAGTCCGGTTCGCATGACAAAATGATTGGTCAGTTTAGCCGTGATGTTATTGGCTGTAAGACTCAAATTGAATGGCGTAAGTCGCTCGTGATCACGAAAGTAGGACAAAATTGTCGTTACATTAACAATTCGTTAGATATTACAATTTTTTTGTTTTTGTTTTGTTTTTCTTATTTTGACATAACAACAACACTACAATGCATCACAACAACTTATTTTAACACAAGATTACTATGTTAAAAAAAAAAAAGAAAGAAAAATTGCATCGATGAAAAAAATAAAAGTGGTATTAACACTAAATAAGCTAGGAGGTTAATTAAAAAAAAAAGAAGGGGGGACGGCTCCAGTGCCTTACAACATTTTCAACTGTTGTTGAAAAGACTTTGATTGCAAAAATTGTGCGGAAGGTGTTCGATAACTTGTAACAAAGAGAATTACGTAATAACTTTTGTTGTTGTCGCATAACGTGTGCGACCTCACGGTGACACTTTGCCGAATAATATAATCT